AATCCAGCCACACTGAACCTCTTAGAAGAGAAAGTGGGAGGTACCCTTGAACAAATTGGTACAGGAGACCACTTCCTGAACATAACTCCAGTAGCACAGACACTGAGATTGACAATTAGTAAATGGGACCTCCTCAAACTTAGAAGCTTCTGTAAGGCAAAGGACACAGTGGACAAGACCAAATGGCAGCCCACAGACTGTGAAAAGATCTTCACTGATCCTACATTTGACAGAGGGCTGATCTCAAAAATATACAAAGAACTCAAGAAACTATTCACCCAAACACCAAACAACCCTGTTTTTAAAAAAGGGGTATAGAAGTGAATAGAGAATTCTCAATAGAAGAAATCAAAAAGACTGAAAGACCCTTAAGAAAGCGCTCAACATCCTTAGCTATCAGGGAAATGCAAATCAAAACAACTCTTAGATACCATCTTACTCCTGTCCTGAAAATGGACATAATAAACAGCTCCCTAATTCTCTTCAGATAAACTTTATTTTACAATACATAGTGATTAATATGGAAATACACACTGGTCAATTCGAAGAAACTATGGAGCCTTCTGTTCTATATGGGGCATCTCTGCCACAATCCCTTTAATCCAAGACTCAGGGACAGAAAGACAGAGGACACAGAAAGACTTAAGAGCCAGAGTTTGTGGACATCTGTAGCCAAACAGTGTTTTCCAAACATGACCAGGCAGTTGTACACATGAACTCACAGCAGTTGTGAGTAAATGCACAAGACTTACACATGATCGAGGCAACAAAAATACAACCCTGAAGAGTGAAAGGCTGAGACACAATTGGCAATTGTTAGCTAGTGGATGAGTGCCAATTTCCTCATGCTGTGGCTCCTGAGAGGCTACCTACAAGATGGATCAGCACATATGTAGATACAAACAGCACCACATAGATTCAGAATATTTAAAAAAAAAAAAAAAGGAAAGAAAGAAAGAAAGAAAGGAAGGAAGGAGGGAGGGAGGGAGGGAGGGAGGGAGGGAGGGAAGGAAGGAAGGAAGGAAGGAAGGAAGGAAGGAAGGAAGGAAGGAAGGAGAAGCTTGGGATGAAAAGAGGTGTTGTAAATAAGGGAGGGATGGGAGTAGAAGAAATGAGGAGTACTTTTGATCACAACACATGGAGTGCATGTATAAGATAAACAATTAAAAATCCAAACATAAAGCATTATTGAAAAGCAAAAGAAAGGTAAGGTTCAGTATTTCAAGAAAGAGAAAAGTACAAAATGGACCTGAAGAGAACGATGAAGATGAGGTCAGCATGGAGATCAAGTGTCTGAGGATGCTTTCTCCAGACACAAGTCCAAACCAAGTCTTGGAGAATAAGTAGGTGGTACTTACTGTCTCACACACAAAACTGAAAAACAAAAGTTCTAATTGCTATCCTACAGATAGGCCTACTTATGTCCACACGGGGCTTCCGAGTATACATTATAGATATAAGCTTAGAATTTCCTGGTAATCTGAACTAGGAACAAGTGAGGCTCAGACTCTTATGCCAGACATTGGGACACTTTTCTATCCATCGGGTAGCCATCTATTTTGTCATATTTAGTTGTTAATTCTTGAAAGTCTGTCCTTCAAAAAATAGCAACATAAAGGGATTAAGTACTGAATGGTGGGGACTCAGGTATCAATTAGAAGGATTAGATAGAAGAGAAAATAAAATCAGTACAGGTAAAGAAAATAATTTCTTTTCAATATGATAAAATAATAAACAAATTTTTTAAAATTTTTAAACCACAAAATAATGATGGGAATTAAAAACAGAACAAGTTCCTATCCATCCATCCAATGATCCATCTAACCATCCTTCCATACAATCACCTATCTATCCATCCATTCATACATACATACATACATACATACATACATACATACATACGAATACATTCATACATACACCCATCCAACCACCCATCCAGGTTTCTGTCTCATCCTTTTCAATAACACAGTTGTGGTGATGTTCTGCATACACGGGAACAACAACAAAAATGATGGGAATTAAAAACAGCAAATTGGCAGCATGTGGGGGGAGAGGGAGTTAGAAGAGATAGAAGGGCAGAAGAGGAGGGGAGAGGTGGGCATGGGGAAGCAAGAAGATTGAGTCAGGGAAAGACTAGAGGAGAGCAAGAAAAGAGATACCATAATAGAGGGAGTCAGTATAGGTTTAAAGAGAAATCTGGCACCAGGGAAATGTCCAGAGATCTACAAGGATGACCCCAACTAACAATCTAAGCAATAGCGGAGAGGCTACCTTAAATATCCTTCCCCGATAATGAGATTGATGACTACCTTATGTACCATCCTAGAGCCCTCATGTAGTAGCTGATGGAAGCAGAAGCAGACATCCACAGCTAAACACTGAGTCAAACTCCTGGAATCCAGTTGCAGAGAGGGAGGAATAATGAGCAAAGGGGTCAAGACCAGGCTGAAGAAACCCACAGAAACTGCTGACCCCAGAGGGAGCCCATGGACCCTAGACTGATAGCAGGGAAACCAGGATAGGACCGACCCAGACCCCCTGAATGTGGTGTTAGTTAGGAAGACTGGGTAGTCTATGGGGCCTCTGGTAGTAGATCAGTATTTATCCCTAATATATGAATGGACATTGGGAGCCCATCCCACATAGAGGGATACTCCCTCAGCCTAGACACATGACACATGGGGGAGGTCCTGGGCCCTGCTCCATATCAGATGACAGACTTTGAAGATCCCCCATGGAAGGCACCATCCTCCCTAGGAGCAGAAAGGGGATGGGATGGGGGTTGGCGGGAGGGACAGGGGAGGACAGGAGGGTGAGGGAACTGGGATTGACATGTAAAACAACCTTGTTTCAAATTTAAATTAAACAAAAGCTATCAAGAACAAATAAAAGAACATAGATCTATTGATCGATCCAACCATCCAACCTTCCACCCAATCATCTATCCATCCATCCATCCATCCATCCATCCACTCACCCATCTCTACTTTTCTGTCTGTCCTCAGCCTGTTCTATAACACAGTCCCGGTGATGTTCTGCTCCCAGGGACCTACACCTCCAGTGCAGCTGGAGGACCATGTTCCTTCTGAAATGTCTACAACCAGGAGCCTGAATGAACCATCCTAATTTCAGTCGTTGCCACCAGGGATGTGTCACAGTATCTGAAACCTGGTGAGGTATGAGGGAATCTGGCAAGGTGAAAGACGGGCTTTCTGCTCCCCTAGGGAAAAGGACATTCTAATGGCAGAGTTTTGTCCTGAACTACAAAACATTACATTATCTGCACGGAGGAACAGTGCTTCTGGGCTGGACGTGTGGCTGCATGCCACAGCACTAGCTCAGTGTGAAAGAAGCCCTGAGGGAGAGCTCTGGCACCTCTTGTGAACGCAGGGGGACAGCAGAACAGGCTCCTCGGGCAGTGTCAACAAGGACTGTTAGACACTGGCTCATTAACTAGAGCTTTGTGCGGCAGTTAGGATGAGGAATCAATATGGATGTCTCCTGCAGCTCTACTATAATACAGTCTATAGTCCTGCCAGGGAGGGACAGAAAGGTGATACGACACAAAACAAAAATGAGGAAAGACACAAGATTGCCCCATCTTTCAACAAAACACGAAAGGCTTTCCTGCCTGTGAAGACGCACTGAGGTGGGAAATGGGTCATTGCTTTTTCTCATATGGAGCAAAACATCTAGGATGCTCCTTTCATGGAACCTAGCACCCAGTACCAACAAAGGCGTTCTTTCTCTGGGTGTTCCACTCTGCGATTATCCTGGTCTCAGACCCAAGCATGGAAGAGGATGCTGGAAGCCTAGGATTCTACAGAAGTAGCTGCGAGGAGGAAGAGGCTTCTCTGGCTGTCACACTCATTGTATTGTGGATGAAGAGAGAAGGCAGCCGGATTCACTAGCTCACAACTTTGATACTATAAGGAGAGAAGAAAGAAAAAAAGAATGTCCATGCTGCTGGAGCCTGAGTGTGATATATACTGACGTCCAGAACAGCAGCTAAAGAGACAAGTCTAACTCAGGAAAACAAAAGATGAGGCAGAGAAAAAAAATTCCAGAGGTAGCTATGTCTGTGAGGTAGAAGAGCAGCAAGAGTTTGAGAGAGGGAACATGTGCAGCAGACTCACTATCAGCCCCTCAGCTGGGTATTCTACCAGAAGCATCCAATTACAAGCACATCCACAAGAAACATGAGACCAGTGCTTCTGAAAGCTCACAGTGGTATCACACACAAGTGATTCTGGCAGGGCCAAGATGGGTAAGAATGAGACTCTACCAACAGGGGATGGAAAGCAGAGGAGGGAAGTTTGAGTTCAGCCTGTGGCAGCAAAGAGCAAGGAGAACTTGCAGGAGATGGAAGCCAAAGAGTAGATCTTGGAATCCAATATCTCAGATGCACTCAATGAACTCAGCTCAGACAGCACACAGCCCTTTGACCTCTTCATTAGGTCATGGACACATGCTGACAGCTCATAACTCAGACCAACTGAAAGGGATTCTCAACTGAGTTCCCTCAACCTGTGTGGTCCTTCCTTCTTGCCAAAGAAGTTACAGAGTTTGCTGATGGGGCACATCACATGCACACTATGTACAGCTTCATCAGTTAACATTATAAAAGCACTGTCAGGACAACTCATTGGAAAATCATGAGAAGTGGGAATTCCAAGCCATAATACCTCCTTTCACTTAGCACACACCACCCACTCCATGGGTACTGTTGGTCTCCTGGCATCTTCTCCAACCAATCCCATCCTTTAGCTTGGAATGGCAACTTCCTATTGGATGCTGCCTGGTAGAACTTTGGTGTTTCCATGGTGATGCCTGTAAACAAGTTTATATCCTAACAGGTCACCTGTGACCAGTGACCAGTGACCAGTGAGCGCTGTCTGATACTGGACACACTTGCCACTGGGGTCTGCTGATCAGACAAAGACGACTGATTTTCTTGATCCACTGTACTGTGGGTTGGTGATACTCTCCCCCTGACCATGTCAGGTAAGGAAAGACACTTTAAAACATGTCTTTTGATCACTTCTTACCTTATTTTGATATACACTTAAATCTTCCATGAAAGGGGATGTTATAAATGCTGACATAGATATCTCGAGGTTTATTTCACATTGAGTTTTGGTTCATACTAGATAAGTGAGTTTACACAGACAGTTTACTCTCAAGTGTTTTCCATCCAGGTCAGGGAGAAAACAAAGTCACCATGCTCTGGGGTCTCTACTGTCTCGCTTAAGAGGCAAGTGAACAATGAAATAAACCAAGTCCTTCTTGATGGTACAGGCCTCAAAGGATACAAGAACCTGAAGGAGGTGTGCAAAGATTTAACACTCCATATCATGAATCGAACAGGCTCCCTCCACTTCTGTTTCCCCCTGTTGTTCCAACTGTTTCAATGTAATTCTCACAGCAGGTGGCCTGGCACACACCTGAAATCCCAGCATGTAGAGCTTGACTGGATGAAGGTCACTTCACTCTAACATGTCCTACACCAGCCTGTGTTCACACTCACCAAATAGACACTCAAAATATGCAAGGGGAATGACTACCATATTTTGAATTAATGGACTTCTCTGGATTTACTAAAGGAAAGAGGGAGAGGCTCTCTGGGCTGTGGGATCTGAGAAGGCAGCCATTGTCGTCAAAGAAATATTGAGGCCCTTCCCTAAATGTCAGACCCACAAGAAATGGGAGAAAGGAGAAAACAAGTACAAAGAGTTATAAAACATAGAAACCCAAAAAGGTGCGCTGCAGAGATGACCCTGGAGGTACACAAAGTTAGTTTGCAACAGAGAGTTGCAGACAACCCCAGATTTAAATCAAAGGCACAGGGCATTGCCATTTCCCAAACCACATTTGGGCAACCACACTATTAAGAGTATTCTGGATATAGGTTCCCTGTCACATTTAAGAGACAATCCACCTGTGGACACTGGATTGTACACACCATGCAGCCCATCTTCTGCACATTCTTCATGTGTTATGTAACTCTTCCTGGAGGATATTATGAGCTGCGTGTGGGCACTCCACAGGGAGTTGTTCACTGCACAGGGAGTTGTTCACTGCACAATGACAACTCACATGTAAAAGTGGGGGCAATTCCCACCAATATTCCTCACTGGGGAGTTATAAGAATTACCAGTTCCCAAAGAACTGATAAAGAGCCAACTTAACCAACAGTGAAACTGAGAAAATTGTATTCAGAGATGAAACCCTTTAATGCATTAGCAATCTCAAGAGACCACACGAAGCAGATGCAAGCAACAACACACTTTATCAGCGATTGTATTCATGGAGTCTTATATGCATACGCGATTAATGGTTTTAAAATAAGAAGAGGTAACAGGACTACAGGAAGATTCACAGCTGAACAGGAGGAGCTAGAGGAGAAAGAGATTACTAGCTAACTACAGTAGTTCTATTGAAACTCCAGGGACATCATGAGCTCAGAGTAGAGGCAAGCCTAGTGGATATGGCAAGTACATACAACAGCAGCACTCTGGAGGCAGAGGCAGGCTATTCTGTGGAACTCCAGGCCAGTCTGCTGTCCAGCTCACTAGGCAGAGTGAGATCTGTACAGAACAGGGATAAGCATGTTGGCTGAGGTTCTCCTATCTATAAACACATATGATCTAGGACACAGATGTGAGGGAGTGTCACAGTAGGCACAGCAGGACAGAAAAAGATGGTGTCTAGATCAGAGCAAGGGTAAAAATGAGGCTTCGAGGAATTGCATGTCCACACAGCAATGACAGCCAGCGAAACTAATGAGTGTCATCCTACCCAGGCCCAAGGATCATTCTGAACATTATTGTTTGGGAATAAGTGAGGGGACATGTCTTAGACTCTCCCAGACAGGACAAACTGAATATAACACAGCTCTCAACAGAAAGCTACAAACTTTCCATCTCACCATTTACCCATTGTCCTCTTGTTTCTACAGAAAATTTGCAAAGCACGCCTTTCTTTGGGACAGAATGTGCTCTGCGGCCATCTGTGCCTGTGCTGAGGAATGCCACACCCTCAGCCGGAAGCGCGTGCAACTTCTCCGGGGTTTCCACCCCAGCTGTGAGTTCAGCATGGCTCCAGCCATCAGACTCCAGCACTTGTTGCCAGCAGCTCATGGACGGTGCCTACTTTTACCAAAGAGCTGGCACCACCATGCTGACTGCACTGACTGACCAGAGCCAGATCTCTACCTCGGCACTCTCCTATCCAGATGCTCTCCAGTGGGATCTCACAGGAAGCACTGACAGGAAGGTCTTCACTGAAACTATCATTCACCAGAATACCACGCTCTCCTCCCTGTCCATGACAGCCCAGTGTGAGCCAATGTTACATCTCCATGCCTTGGTCTCTTCCTGTCCAACAGTGTCTGCCACTTTTCTCCAGGCAACGCAGACACAGGTACCAAATGAAGGAAACTACCTGGCACCGTCCTACCAGGAGGGCAGCCAGGACTATTACTATGACCAAAGCCGACAAGGACCACTGTTGGCTGGAGAAATCCAGCAGTGCCTGCAGGCCTATGGCTCTATTTCCTACTCTGGGAGTCAGGCCTCTGCCCTGCATCCAGAGATGATGATGGTGTTCAAGGAGATTCAGCCAACGAATGTCCAAACACCTTTCTCCACCTCTGCCATCTACTATCCCAGTTCTGTTCAAGCCAGACCAGACACCAGTCTTCAAGGTGAGTAAAGCCAGGAGGGCAAGGAGTGGGATCTGCACTCAAAAGAGACCCCACTCTCCCTTTCAGTAGCGGATGCCCAAACAGAGGATAGCCTTGCCTAGGGCTCACCATACCCATCTTCACTCTCAATAATGAGAGAGACTAACCTGCCAGCCCAAAGCATTCACCTCCTTAAACTAATGTGTATGTATGTATGTATATGTACATGTATACGTATATATGTATATATGTAGTTTTTATTTAAATTTGAAACAAGCTTATTTTACATGTCAATCCCAGTTCTGGCTCCCTCCCGTCCTCCCCTTTCCTCCCCGCCAACCCCCATCCCATCCCCTTTCTGCTCCCTAGAGAGGGTGTGGCCTTCCATGGGGAGTTTTCAAACTCATTTTCATGTCCCTTATAAGAAGTCTCTGAAACATGGATATGGAGGAAAGTCAGAGTTCTAGAACTGGTGGCCTGTCAGGAGGGAGGAATCAGGTGACCTGAAATAAAATCTGAGCTTCTCGGGGTACAGTAGTAATGACAGAAACCAGAAACAAGTTAAAAGAAAGACATGTAAGTTTTGGAACCTACACACAAACTGCCTAATAGCAAACTTCCACAGAAATGAGAGGTACTTTTTAGAGGCAAAGGGGAGGGCTAGGGAGGAGCACACACCACGGGAATTCTGTAACTACCCAGGGACCATTATACATGCACACACCACACAGACACGAAGGAATACACAAACATCTGAAAAAGCATGATATCATGTGGTCACCAGAAACCACTCAGCCACACTATGTGTCTCCAAAGGGAGGTGATGCACTTGACACTCAAGCAGAGGTCATAAGAAGGCCTGCCCCAACGCTGTTGGGCCTTGGTGCTGAGGCGTACCGAACGGAGGGGAGCATCTCACTCACCAGGCTCTGACTTCTTCCTTCACTCCTTTTCAGTGGTGGAAATGCAGACATCCCTAGGATTGACACCTTCAGGCCAGACACTCTGTCTGCTGCAGAGTCCAGACCTCTGCAAGGCCTGCCCACAGGATGTCCAGATGAAGACACCACCTGTCTCTGGGGACAGCTCTTTAGCTGCCCGCATACACAGTCCTTCACAGTTCCTGACATTGCCTCCAGCTCCAAGCCTGGAACAAAAAGAGAATAACGGTATGGAGGAGATGACAGCTGAGCCATCAACACCCATGAAGGCCTATGAGTGCATAACAGAAAAACAAGATGCACAGCACTTCCCTTTAACACACCCTGGTTTACAGCAGCCACTGACCTACACTGATGATGGGAGCCTGAGGCAGAAGGCAGTTTCTGATAACTCCAATTTGGGAAGTACTAGCCTTGCTCGGGAAGAGCCAGGGGCTCTGCATAGAGTCATGGAGTCCAGCATTGATCTTGAAGGCATGACTACACTTGTGTCAGATATTCCCCTTCCCCAACTCTTAAACCCCCTCACTGACCTAGTCCAATTGGAACATCCCACAGCAACACAATCACAAGACTTCAGAGTCTTCAGCAGGGATCAGTTCCAGGAAAATTCCACCGGCAGCAGCACAGACAAAGGGGAGCACAAGAAAGACCAGAAATCCTCTAATCACCTTCATGGATCTCCCCAGGCCAGAATCCAGTGCCAGGTCCTGTTAGAGGGAGAAGAGGGTGTGGGCATTGCTACAGCCAGTGCGATGGGTATTGATCACTTGGCCAAGCACTTGGATGGCACAGCTCACAAATCTGCACAAAGCAGGGCCAGCACATCTAGGGCACAGGGCCAAGACAAGATCAAGAGGACCAGAGGAAACAAAACCAAGAAAACTGGGGAGCTGAAGCCATCTTGTCCCAGAGCCAAGGTAGAAGACAATCTCAGTATCCCCAAGACTAGGAGGAAGAGGCATCCAAGTGTGCTCAGCCAGGACAGCTTCAAAAAGCCTCGAACGCACCTCGGCATGCACATGCTGGAGGCCGTGCAGGTCTTTCACCCACTGGGAAAGAAGAGTGAGAAGAAAATTGGCATCTCCTCCTCCCAGGCTGTGCTAAACTCCAGCAGCAACAAAGATCCCAGGACAGGACGGGCCACCACATCACGGCTGGATGAGCCACATGATGGCCGAGGGCCTGCTCCAACCCTGGGCAATGCTCAGAGACCAGAGAGCAATGCTCACAAGGAGTGTCCATCTCCATCCCTGTATGAGCTGCCCCCTCCTGGGAAGGTCAAGTTAGTACCTCTGCCTTTCCAAAACCTGGACAAACCTCAAGCCAGACCTCTTTCCAGAAAGCTGCTCTCCCTGGCTTCCGGCAGGCCCACCGCAGCTTACCCTGTGAGGCCACATCCCCACTCGGCACAGTCTACCACATTCAAACCATTCCAACCAGCTCCTGCCAGCACATCTTTGATGGCCTCTGACAAGACAGCTGTGGCGGCTGCCACCAGTACCACACCACTTAACATAACCAACCACATCCATTCTTGCACTCGGCCAGCTGTCACTGGGCCTGCCCCCTACAGAGCATCATCTCATACTTCACTCCCAAGGGAGCATGTTTCTGCTGCCAGAAACAAGGCCCCATCACCTCCCAAACCTCAAACGCAATATCTGCTGCAAGACTTCAGCCGCCAACCTATCCCATGGAGGAAAGTCGATCTTCCAGGGCCAGACATCTCACAGCCCATCACAGCAGAGCAGAGGCCAGAGAGGGAGGCCATGAAGAGATGGGCTCAACAGGAGCGACAGAGTGCTGCCAAAGGCACCTCTCAGGACAAACTGCACGTTTTCCTTCACAGGGACAAGGATATGGAAATTGATCGATATTATGGCTATGCAATGTAAGGGCTGGCCAAGACATATGAACACAGTGCTGTTCATCATAAACACGGTGAGCTATACATACAGATACACAGGTATGTCTAAAGTTTAAAGACTTAAGTGAATGTGTTCATCCTCAGGTACATATGTAGGTATGCACGTGGCTGCATTTATATATAAATCGACAGATAATTTCTATGCTTGTAAATACTTGAAGATATTAATATGGACCATAGAAACTTAAGCCAGTTATTTCATCCAAGAAGATGTATAGAGTGTTTGGAGGTTTTCCTCGTAACTTGGCTATTAGTAGTATGTATCGCCAAAGTAAGAATACATGTTACATAAGTATATCATATGAGTTAAATAACTGCAGGTGATTACTTAATATCAAAGCAATTAGCCCAAAGATGTAGTGGTGATAAAATTATTCTCCTTGTCTTTTAGTTTCATTATACTAGCTACTGAACATGGTATGCTTCTCAGAGTTTATACTGTATAGTGGTCACACTCCTGCTTGCTTCATACTTCCTCCCACTTTGAACTCTCACCACAGCCCTTTAGTCATTACTAATCTGAGACTGAGCTCTTCCTGCAATTGCATGAAATGAAATACAGGATTCCAGATGTACACAGTCAAGCACCCATTGTGAAGTGAACTATCTTACTGACATGGGTTTAAGTTGATTCCTATGTTTATCTCAAGTTGTATCCAGTTTGAAAGCATCCATTTAATGTTTTATTTTGTGTGTGTGTGTGTGCGTGTCATCCCATGCTTTCCTGTGTGGAGTGTCCAAGGAGGACAGAAGAGGGCACCGGATCTCTGGAATCTAGATTTCACTGAGATTGAAAGTCGCCATGAGGTACTCTGAATTCATCCTGGGCACTGCAAGAAGACCAAGTGTCCTCATCTGCTGAGCCATCATCTCATCGAGCCCCAGTTGGATATGCATAAATAAGGCTGAAAAGACTTCACATCCTAGGTACGTCTCGTGTACTTCATCCATGACAAGGTTGTTGGACACCATGCTTGGTTCTCTAATGTTCTGCACACAGTGATGCCCATCAACACTGATGGGCAAGAACCTGCTTAATAAATACAGTGAGTTCTTTGGCAAGGTGTGCATGAACCATGTGGTAGGGAAGGTTTTGGCATTTGGAGGACCCTCCATACTCATATCCAACCATGCTGCAAACCATACCATACCCCCCCCAGCAGAGTTGTAGTACAGCATTTCCTTCTGAAAACTCCCTCATCGCTCTTTCCCATTTTATTTCTAGTTGGCCTAGGCTGGCAGCTATTGCAGGTTCACCATGTATTTCCCTGATGCCTCCTGAACCCATTCTCCTTTGTCAGTAAATCTGTGAGGTAATGTCTTTTTCTTGTTGCTTTAATAAGTCTGTTTCATTCTCATGATTTACATATTTTACCTAATTGTAAATAATCCCAATATTAAATTGTCTAATTGAGGTATCAATAGCAAAGACTTCAACCAGGTCTTTACAAAATACACTCAAGTAACTCCTTCTCTTGCTGGCAATGAAATCTTTACTTCCCCGAGAGACCATTTGTCCACCACAGCCAGGATGTCTGGAATGGTTGTTTTCCTCCATTCAGACCTGTCCCTAAACCTTCAACTCTGTGCTACACTGGGAAATAACCGTTTAATAGTTTGTTACACATTGACCTCTGACACATTTGGCATTGATACTTTATGGGGTCAAATAGAGAATGAAGAATCCATTTATTTATTAACTTGCTCTTATTTTCTTGGCTGATGTTTTGAACAAACTACGTTGCATCATGCTAGCCTTGAACTCATATTAATATGCCTGCCTCTCCCTCTGCCTCTGCCTAGGCCTCTGCCTGTGATTCTGCATCAAGAGTGCTGGGACTAAAAGTATGCTCCACCACAACAGCAGAATCAGGTTTGTCCTGAGCATGTGGATATCCAAGTTTCCAAGCATAATTTGATGAGAAGGCCATGTGAAAATCAAGGTATGGATTGGTAGCTATGTAAAATCCCAGGACACTTAACTGCATATATGCATGTATTTAGAACTGTAGCTCAATTTAGATTCTTGTCTCTCTCTTTCTTTCTTTCTTTCCTTCCTTCTTCTTCTTTTTCCTTTTTTTTTTTTAAGAAATCTGCTGCTTAAGCTGATACTTAGGAATGCCTTCCCCAGTGCTGTAGGACCTAAGTGTAAAGGTACACAGTGAGGAGGAGAGCATCTCACTTACCAGGCCCTGACTTCTTCCTTGACTATTTTTCGGTGCTGCAAATGGACTGACACTTCAGGCCAGATGCTCCTTCTGCTGCAAGGTTGTTCTCTGCAAATCATGCACCCAGGATGCCCAGATGAGGACAATACCTGTCCATGGGACAGATCATGAACTGACCCCATACCCAGACCTTCACAATTCCTGGCTTTGCCTCTGGCTACAAGCCTGGAACAAACAGAGAATAACAACTTGGTTAAAATGATATTCAATCTATCTTTGCCTCTGGAGACCTATGAGGATAACACACACACACACACACACACACACACACACACACACACACACACACGGAGTTTTAAAATCTTTTAAAGTTTTTAAAAATCTTTAAAAGAAAAAACCATAGATTTTGAGTGCTCATCTGTGAGGTAATTCTCCTAACAGATGCCTAGGAATCAGAAATTATTTTGTTTTTAGTTTTTTTCGAGAATAGTTCTGTAGACCAGGTTGGCCTTGAACTCACAAATATCTGCCTTCCTCTGCCTCCTGAGTGTTGGGACTAAAGTCATGTGCCACCGACACCCAGCTGAAGTCAGAAATTTTGAAACCATTAATTTTCTTTACTCATTGTGTATGCTAAGAGAGCCCCAATCTCTTTATCTTCCTGGCCCAGCTATCTGGCTGCTGGGTTTATAGGCATGCACTCTATCACCCATATGATAAACTTAATTTACCAAACATATCAGCACGGACTTTATTGTCTCAATCCATCCATATCAAATGTTGTTATGAATACTTTGCTAATATAAATAATAACCACAAAATTCTAATAGGGATCTCTCTTCATACACTGTTTTCTGGTGATGATAAAGTGGGGGTCACCTCCTTCCTACAAAGTAAATAGTTTAGTAAGCACTGTCTCTCTGGGGAACCTGCCAACCTACTATAATCTGAGATCCACGGGATATACTGACAGCTACGCAAAGCTATGCTAGGTGGTTGAAAAGGGTTTATTAAGAGATTTCCAGTAACTGTGCTACAGAGATGGCTCAGCGGCTAAAAGCACCTGCTATTCTCATTGAGGATCAGGGTTCTATACACATTGAACACAGAATGGCTTACAACCATCTGTGTTAAGTCCAGTTTCTAAGAATCTGGCGCCCTCTTCTGGCCTCTTCAGAAACCAGCCACATACAAATAGCACATACCTACATTCACTCAAAACACTACCAAATAGAGCCGGGCATGGCAGCACACACCTGTAATCCCATGACTCGGGAGACAGTCAGGATGATCTCTGTGAGGTCGAGACCTGCGTGGTCTACAAAGTCAGTTCCAGGACAGCTAGGGGTGTTACACAGAGAAACCCTGACTTAGAAAACCAGAAAGAAAATTCACTAACAAAATAAAACTAATTCTTTTTAAAAAGAGAGACTGCTGATAACCTGAAAGAGGCTGGCAAAACCACAGAAGCCATGCGACTTTTGAATCTACAACAAATAAAATGATTTCCATATTTCCTGTTGTCTATCCGCAGCCCCCGCTACCTGCAGCTCTGAGAACAAAGCTCAGGGCCTCACTGTACAAGCATTCATTCCCTGTAGCACACCCCTTGTCCACTACTATCTTATGCTATCTAAGTTCATAATTGTGAGGGAGGAATAGCTCAGTGGTACAGAGGTTCCTGGTTGATCCTAAGCACCAAGAGGTAATTAATTAAATTTTTAAAGAAGTGAAGATCAAACATTCACACATAACAATCTAATGTATGACATAGTAACTACAGTAACATCACATACTTGAAAAAAAATCACTAAAATTTTAAATACAAGTAGTATATGAGGTTACTGTGTGATTAGCCTGGTTTCACCATTTCACAATATATACATTTCAAAGTGTCATTTTAAATGTCATAAACATATACAATTTTTGTCAAGCAATCTTTTAAAATGTTTTAATCCCAGCACTCTTGAGAGAGAGGCAGGCGGGTGTCTGTGAGTTGTGGCCACTTGATGTACACAGCCAGTTCCTTGATAACAAGGCCTGTACAGGGAGACCCTGTCTCAAAGAAGAGATCATGTGTGCATTACTGAGTTCACAAGGGCACTTTCTCAAACTCTCTCTGATAGTTGCTAAACTAATTGCAGGCCTTTGTAAATGAAATGCATCTCATATCCATCCTGGGGTTATCAGGCTGGCCTCAAACTCTAAATGCTATGTGCATTACCATGTCCTGTACTGCTTAAAATGGCTACAATGATCAATGATCACACCCAAAGATATACAAAGTCTATGTTTGTTAAACAAGGATGTGGTGCTGTTTGTCCAAGTTTCTCTGAGAATACTTTTCCCTTTAAAGGGTTTCATACTGCTCACTATTAAAAAAAAAAAAAAAAAAAAAAACACTGCTTCCCCTCACCCACTGTCTAAGTTAGATCCAGCAATCTTCAGAAAATAAGGGCAGTGTCCCAGATCTACAGCCATGAGAATTGCTTTTTGTCTTTTATCTGACTGACAGAAACTAATGACCCAGTCTCAAGGGTGCTTTCTGGGTTGGATGCAGTGAGAGAGGCCTGTAAATTCTAATGCACCAGAAGCTGAGACAGGGGTGTCAGACATTTCTGAGCTCAGTCTAGGCTACACAGCAAGTGTTTGGGCTGCACAGGGACACTCTGTCTGCAGAGGGGAAAAATAATTAAAAAAGGCAAGTGTTCTGAGGCCAAAGTCAGCTAAAGCTACTCTTACTTTTTATTCATAAAAAAAGAGAGACCCTTAAATGAGGTTGTAAAAGTAATTAGTATCT